TCTCTCTCTTTTATTACTAAAGGACACTCTCTCAGCTGTTATGAGTGCACGAGTCTGACTTGTGCACAACAACAGTTGACATGTCCCAGTGGATTCTCCAAGTGCATGAGTTCAACAGCAGTAACACAAATTGGTAAGTAATATTTGACTGACGAAGATGCTGCTATATAAGTTACTGATGTTACAACAGTAAAAATTAACTTTTTTTTGCAATAACAATTATTTAAAATGAGAAAATGCAAAATGTTACTTCTCTTCTGCTTTGCAGCTGAAATGACACATATATTTGTTTTTATCTCTCACTGCTGCTTTCTACAGCATTGGTCTTTCATGTATCATTCATGTTTTTTTTAAAGGTGAAATTAGTTCTCAAGTGAGTATTAAAAACTGTGCTGTTGACTGTCAAAATGGGTCCATGAACTTCGGTTTTGTAAAGACATCTTATTCCTGCTGTGACACTGACCTTTGTAACGCCAAAGATGATCCAGGTATTGAACTTCAATGATCATGTGCAAATGACTCCTCTTTAAAGTCAGCAGTCGTTTTACCTCTATATAACATTCAATCAATGGGGGAGGGGGGAATTGTTTCATTAGATGTTATGTTTGTACAGAAAATAAAATAAAAGAACACTTGTTTACTTATGTAGATCTTAGCTCTATTGTCCCCAATGGAAAGACATGTTACTCTTGTGATGGGCACAGCTGTTTAAACATAACGAGCTGCTCAGGGATTGAAGACCGCTGCATTAAAGCAACAGGTGAGAATCTGGAAAAGGAAGATCATTGTAATTATTTTTGCTTCTCCATCATTTTATGTAGCTAACTTAAACAGATTTCCAGCTTAGACTAACCTGTGTTTTCTGTCTTTTCATCAGAGAGTTTCGGAGGCCAGTCAACAGTTGTAAAAGGCTGTGTTTCTAAATCGATTTGTGATGCCACAACATCATTTAGTAGTGTTAATGGGGTCTCGTGTTGTTCAGGGAACCTGTGTAACGGCGCTCAGAGTGTCACTCAGAGCTTCCTGTTCCTCTGCTGTTCTCTGCTCTCCTTCATCCTGCTGCACTGAATCCAGCAGCTCTACAATGAGGCACACTGTATACAGAACAGCCTTATGCACAACTAAAATTTTTATGTAGCTACAACTCAGTTTGTGTTTGAGTGTTGATTATTAGATCTGAAAATAAATAGCAACTAATTTTGATAGTTTGGGCTCTATTGTCAATTTTAACATTTGATATTGAGAAAAAATACTAAATCAACTATTCAGGCAAAACGGAATTTTAGTCAAAGAAATTCAAATGTATTCAGAAGTAAATTTATTCTATGACTTATATGCAGGCCTATGAATATATAGATGTTTAGCAGCCCATGTTTTATTTGACGTTATATGATAACAGTAACACTTTATATTCAAATTACATGATTTCGCTCAGTTAGCCTATAGGCTTTAATGAATAGCAAATATATCTGCAATGTATGTCTAACTCATGGAGTTACTGAATAATAATGAATAATTATATTGAATTAAATTGGAAGAATTGGATTAAAACAACATGCCAATCAGGACCTTGTTTCCATTCTAGGGGGCATCTTGCCTCAAGGGTCTAACTGTACCATTTCACTTCAAAATAAAAACTGTAATCTAAAAGACATACAACTTGTGTTGCTGGATGAGCTGCTTTTGTTTTTTTTTTGTTTTTTGCAAAACATAATTGTATCCCACAAATCTAAAAACATGAACGTGTCCACAAATCCATCAACAAAGACACAAAACACTTTGATTTTCAACATAATACATAGATCACTATTTTCCAGAGACACAAAATTAGATCAATTAACCTCAAAACTGTTTTGACTGATTAAATCTCACAGATGCTAATAATATTCCAAAAAATTACAAAAAATACGAAGCGCATAGTCATTGAAGTCGATATGTTGAGGGGAGATTTTGTACCATCCTGTGGTCAAGATCATTTTACCCCATCTTAACCAGACATTACATAATTAAGACGAAGACAGACAAACAAGATCATGACATGCTACATTTCATTTCAGTTGTACTGTATATTTCAACATACCTTCTTTTGTTAATTCATTTTATTAACATCCACACACATCTAGTGCCATCTAGTGGTCGCTGATTTTCTGTGGCTCAGCTGCGCGTGGATCGCGAGCTGTGTGTGTGTGGATTGCGCAAGGCTAAAAGGGCGGAACGAAAGTCTCAAAATTCAAATGAATCAAATAGAATCGACTCAGAAGAGACGTGAATGAATGCACGCGTGTCACCTGATCCACAAATGCACATTTTAATTGCTACATGCACAGATCATGATACTTTAATACAAACTATAACATTTGTATTCACAAATATGTCTCTATTTGAACAAAATGCTGCACATTAATGCAGGGGCGTAGATTACGCGGGGGACGCGGGGGACGCGGGGGACGTGTCCCCCACACTTTTAATATAACGTCCCCCGCACTTTTTCAGGCAAGTGTGTTTGCATAGAGGTTTTCAAGAGCCAGTGTGAATAAATATAGATTTAAATTCAAAGAGACAGGATAGTCTGTGCATGATCTGATGTTTTATTCGGACCCAGAATAAGGCGAGATGAACATCGTTGAGCGCTAAACACTCCGTGCAGTGTATGTTTCATTCATACTCGAAGCCGGAGGGCGCTCTCGCGCAGAAAGTCATATGAGGAAATTCCTAATATGGACAAAAGCGTCCAGCTATCGCTGTATGAAAACAGCTGTTTTCACAGAAAACAGAAACGTTTGGAAACATGAAGGCATTAAACATACGATTGAGACAATATATGGTTTATTTGTGTTTGTCAAGTCATCTCCAGGTAATAAATAAAGTATATGAATAATGCAGTGCTAACTGACACAGCATTTATTACAGTATAGAAACTATTCTGCCTTATGTGATTTAAAAAAAGTGTTTGTAGTATATAAACAAATCATTATTATTGGTTATTGTCCAGCAGTTATCTGATTTCTAAGCCCAATTAAAAGCTAGAAATGAGAGAAAAATTAAAGTTGACTATACACTACCAGTCAAAAGTTTTTGAACAGTAAGATTTTTAATGTTTTTTAAAGAAGTCTCTTCTGTTCACCAAGCCTGCATTTATTTGATCCAAAGTACAGCAAAACAGTAAAAGTTTGAAATATTTTTACTAGGCTATAAACATTTGCGATTTTTTCAAATCGTGTACACGTTAATGAATTGCACTGGGCCTTGTTCGTTGGTAGTTGTGTGTGTGAGCGTGGTGAAATGCTGTAAACTGCGAAAATGAAGTCTCAAAATCGGTGAATTTGCCTTTAATTTTCTCAAAAACTATACAGTAAAAATATACAGTAATATTCGGGGACACTGTGAACAGGAATCAATTGAAAGAATCAGCAAACCTATAAAGGAAAGATTTTTTATGAGTGTTTGAAAATGGGTAATAGTGCAACTGCTAGAATGCACTGTTTTTTTTGAGTGAATTTGCCATTAATTTTCTCCAAAACTATACAGTAAAAATATAAAAAAAATAATACAGTATTAGACAGGGTCAATGTGAACAGGAATCAGTTGAAAGAACGAGGAAACCTCTAAAGGAAATATTTTTCTGAGGGTTTGAAAATGGGACGTGATGCAAAAGTGCTTATGCATTTAGATGCTTGAGGTGAATTTGCCTTTAATTTTCTCCAAAACTATACAGTAAAATATTTGAAAATTAATACAGTAATAGTCAGTGTCACTGTGAACAGGAATCAATTGAAAGAATGAGCAAACCAATAAATGAAAGATTTTTATGAGTGTTTGAAAATGGGACGTGATGTAAAAGTGCTTATGAACTCAGATGCTTGCTGTGAATTTGCCTTTTAATTTTCTCCAAAACTGACTTGTAAATTAATACAGTAATAGTCAGGGTCACTCTGAATACATATGAATTGAAAGAATGAGCTAACCTATAAAGGAACACTTTTTTATGAGTGTTGGAATGTGGGACACGGTACAAGTGCTAGGACGCATTTTGTTGGGGTGAATTTGCTTTTAGTTTTCTCCAAAACCATACAGTAAAATGCCTTGAAAATGAATAGAGTGATAGTCAGGGTCACCTTGAATACATATAAATTGAAAGAATGAGCTAACCTATAAAGGAACATTTTTTTATGAGTGTTTGAATATGCAGAAATAATCCAAGTGCAACAATGGATTTTGATGTTTTGGGTGATTTTGCTTTTAGTTTTCTCCAAAACTATACAGTAAAATGCCTTGTAAATGAATATAGTGATAGCCAGGGTCACTCTGAATACATATCAATTGAAAGAATGAGCTAACCTAAAAAGGGACACTTTTTATGAGTGTTGGAAAATGGGACACAGTGCAAGTGCCAGGACGCATTTTGTTGTTTGGGGTGATTTTGCTTTTAGTTTTCTCCAAAACTATATCGTAAAATGCCTTGAAAATAAATACAGTGATACTCAGGCTCACTCTGAATACATATCAATTGAAAGAATGAGCTAACCTATAAAGGAAAATTTTTTATGAGTGTTGGAAAATGGGACACAGTGCAAGTGCTAGGACGCATTTTGTTGTTTGGGGTGATTTTGCTTTTAGTTTTCTACAAAACTATACAGTAAAATGCCTTGAAAATGAAAACAGTGATAGTCAGGGTCACTCAAATCAAAGCGAGAATCACGCGCAAGACAAAAGAAGTGCGGCTGGCTTGACCGTGTATTTTCAAAGCGTGGCTGGCTTGACCGCAGTGTGCAAGCTGCAGTAGTGTTAAAAAGTTTGGATTTGTCCTTCTGTAGCCTACTTCAGGGCTTCACTCTTGAGCCTACTTCTCAAGAGTGATTGGCGATGCGATCGCACATTTCACAAGATCCACTTCAGCTGTCAGGCATAGTAGAGACTGGTGACGTTTTTCTGAGATATATCCAGCTGCAGACCCGCAGCACCAGCAGTTTCAGAACCGCAGCCATAGAACCGGAAGTGAGGGGCGGAGTTATTGACAACGAGAGAGCACGGTGAGTAGTCTGTAATATTTTTGCTGTCATGTTTAATAATTATCAAATATACAGTATTACGTTAAGCATTTATCTGCTAAGTACTTAATGTGTGCTTGGCTTTATTATCTTATATTGAAGCTTGAATTTGTTGTCATACTTTATAGTATATAACTTTTTTCTGTGGATGTTTCAATAAATTTTCGGATGCATGCTGTAAATGGGCCTTGCGGTGAAGTTTTGAAGACGTTTGTTATTCATAAAAATAAATAGTTTGCTTTAATTCCCTCTGTTATATGCATTGTTTGTGTGTTAATATTACCTTGTAGTTTAGTTATTTTAATCCTATTTGTCATCATTGAGATAATTGTGTGTGGCTTCATCTCTTGTAGAGACATAAGGATTCAGAGAGGTGACACATTACCTGAGCTGCAGCAGTGCAACAAGTGTTACAGCAATTACCAGCAGTTTTTTGCTTGACCAGCATGTTTAAGCCAGACAAACTGGTCAAATTAAAAAGTCATCTTCAAATCCACTTCAACAAGGCAGTTGTCTGTAGAGGTAAGAATATCTTGACGCATAATATGGAGATTTACTTGTAAATATAAAGATGCATAGCTCTGACTAATTTTAAACTGTAATAATAATAATAATTTACACTTGGCAGCCCATGAAATGGATCATCTCGCTCATTCAAAGACGTGCATTTATTGCTTGGACGGAGCAAGAACACTTTCTTAAATTCATGTGCAGATTCAGTCGAGTAATATAGTTCACCCTCTTTAACTTTATGCTGTTGTACTGAATTAACTATTTGTTCAAATAACCACAATATTAACAGCAACACTGAAATACGAGCGCACCGTTTATCTGTCGTTCAGATGCGTGTGTTACTACATAGGCCTATAACAAACACCGCTCATTTTCTTTCAGAATCATCATGGGCTGGTCAAAAGAAAAATAGGTTACTTTTAAGTTTTTACTTACAAATGAAGATAAGGTAAAGGTGCAAATAATATCGGGGGAAGAAAAAATATATTAACGAATTTAAGGCTTTACTAGAGCAAGAGAGCTGATTTTTTCCCCCAAATATCTGCACAATTGCAAATGTGATATTGATTTTTCAATAAACAATAATTTGATATTGTGTTACATTTTAGACACAATATTGTCAATATTGTCTGTTTTTCGCCAACTAAAGCAGAACTGTTGTGCGTTTCAACACAGTGGTGTTTCATTACTGAATGAATCCATGGTTTTGAACGAACTGATTGAGCTAATGATTCATTGAGCCATTTATAAATCCAGTCACTCCCTGCGTTCCATCAAAGTCCCTTTAAGGCAAGTCATGTCACTCAGCGGCCATCTTTGAAATGCCTCTCGGGCATGCAAGTGCAGCTCCTATCTCTTTGAATGGAGAAACATCAAATTCTCCAAACATTTTCGCCAAGCTTACGATTAAATTTCATATTTGAAATCACCAATGAAATCTGACAACGACTGTCTCATAAATGTTGTTTCTTATGCTCCAATAGCGTAAAAAAAAAGGCTAGAACAGCCAATGCCCATGTGCAGTCCTAAGCGTGCATCTTTTATTCAGAAGGCGGGGCTTCCTTCGATAGAGCGGCCATATTGAGTGTTGCATTTTACCACATTCAAAACTATACGAGTGACACATCTTGGGTATTCTATAGTCTTTGGTTCCATTCGGAAGGGCTCATCCCTACGCCCTAATCCCTTCAAAGGGTTTACCCTCTGGAGTGAGAGCTTCGAAGGGATGAAGGGTGTAGGGGTCAAAAAACCTCTTGTTTTTGGAATGCACTTCTGCGTCATCTTAACGAGACGATCAAGGAGGTGCCTTCATCACACATTTTGTATGCTGCGGTTGACCCCACGTTTTACGTTAAATATAATGAATATTTGTATATGTAATGTAATGTAATGTGTATTTGTAATGTACTGTATATTGTGTCTATGTATTTGAAACATTTGAAGGGACTGTTAAAGGTAGTTCTAAAATATTTTTGTTAAAGTACAATATCGTTTTGACCAAAATAATCTACCAAATCTAACTCGTATAAATATTACAGTAGTATAGAAAAATACTATACATACATTTATAGGTGAAGTCAAACTTGTGACACCAAACAACTGCAACCCTGTGCAAAGGATCATGGGGGCCTGAGGTGTCCATCAGTTGTACCCTTCGAAATCCTTCATTCCGAAGGGTCCTTTGAAGTGGCCAGTTTTGAGCACTTCGGTTTGCAATGACCCTTCAATATGACGGCCATGACTGTTTTCACTCCGAAGTGCCCTTCGGAGGGCGATATATCCCGTTTGGAACGCACCGACTATTTGCTTCTGAATGAATCAGCCATTTGAACGAATCGGTTGAATGAATGACTGAATGGCTCACTCATTAAAACAGCGATTTGCCTCCACCTACTGGTTCTTTTAGTTTTATATTTAGAGTAGTATATTATAATAAATAATACAGTATATTTGTGTTTTTGTATGTTGAATCAAAATATTTATTTTCTATCATATTCAAAATAAGTGCTTTTCTAATTTAACACAATAATGACTTTAAACGATCTTTAATAATGACTTTAAATAATCGGCATATGATGTGCTAATTAATTAATCTAATTATTTGAGATTAATTGGATTAATTAATCAGCACATTGTGTAATTAATTAGATTAAAACATTTTTAAAACATAAAAAATACACAATAAAATCATGCTAATGTTCACTGTTAACTATTAACTATGACTTTGCCTCAGACTCCTAATTCGCTGCTTATTTATAGTTAGTATAGGGTAGTCATTAAGTTTAGGTATGGGAAAGGATTAAGGGATCTAAAACATGGTCATGCAGAATAACACATTAATATGTGCTTGAGTGACAATCTTAGCACAACATGAGATCCTCTCAGAGCTAGGAATTGTTGTGGCATCACAAATAGATTTAGAGACACAGCCTTTTGCAAGAAGTAACATGGCTCCAAAATTTGCTGATGAAAAAAAAAAAAGATTAGTCTAAGCTCCACCCAACATTTTTTCTTTATTGAATGTCCTTTGGAAGTAAAATGAGTGTTGAGAAAGAAGATGCACATGGTCAGTAAGGTACAGTACAATACCTGGAAAATCGTTAGCGGTACAATTGTCAGTCACAGCACACAGAAAATGACCTTTCAATGCCAATGTTCATGGATCCACTTGTAACAAATTTACAATTAATACAGATGCTGCATCCATTGCATCCGCCATGTTTTCTCCTTGAAACGGCACCAGCTCAGAAACTCTGGGCTTGAAGAAAATCCCAAGGCTCCAACTCATAATTGTGTTCAACTAATAAATACAATCTTTCTGACATGACTTGAAAGCACACTGCACACTGCTTGCACACTGGTATCTTTTCAAATGAGCTGATGACCTGAATCAGGTGGGATTGATTTAGTTTTTTGTTCTTTTTTCGGGACACATACAAAATGTGCACTGGGGCACCAGAAGGAGGTCTGAGAACCACTGGCATAACAAAAAGAAATAAAACAAGTGGATATTTCATGAAATAGAAATTAAGAATGAGGACATCCTTTTTAAGGAATGTGAGTCTTCAGCCAATATGTGAACAACAATGATATCAGAAAAAGACAATTTAGCAGTCAATTTAGTCTGGTCTGCAATGTGAAAAACTGGTTTTAAGAAAGGCCCGGATTTCTAGACACACCAGAACAGACAGTGTTGTCTAGACACACCAGAACTTATGAACTTTATACACTTTATACATTATTATTTATAACTTTATACATTATCATACACAGCATGAGAGCCAAACACCACTCGTAAATCTGTAGTGTGCAATATACCGGGGGTGTCCAGTTCTGCACCTGAGGGCCACTGTCCCACAGAGTTGAACTCTAACCCGAATTAAAGAAAACGGCAAAATGGTGGTCACACCAGATACTGACTGGTTTTCGGACCCCCCTGGACCCCCCAATACAGTAAAACTGCACATTTTAGAGTGGCCTTTTATTGTGGCCAGCCTAAGGCACACCTGTGCAATAATCATGCTGTCTAATCAACATCTTGATATGCCACACCTGTGAGGTGGATGGATTACCTCGGCAAAGGAGAAGTACTCACTAACACAGATTTAGACAAATTTGTGAACAATATTTGAGAGAAATAGGCCTTTTGTGTACATAGAAAAAGTCTTAGATCTTTGAGTTCAGCTCATGAAAAATGGGGGCAAAAACAAAAGTGTTGCGTTTATAATTTTGTTCAGTGTACAATTATATTTATAAGATGATGTTACAGCATTGAAATGCAGGTTAAATAAACTAAATGACTAAATAAACAAAACTGATTCACATGAGGGGGCTGCTGGTGCTCACAGTACTGGACCACTAAACACTGACTTTTTCTCATTACACACACACAAGAAATATGTGTCATGAGAAATCACATACACGACAGATATAACAGAAATATGTGTCATGAGAAATCACACACATCTGTGACAGACAGACTGCGTTTACACTGCAACTCTTAATGCACAGATCCGAACGTTTGATCATATCTGATTTTTTAGCTCATGTGTTTATATTCACTAAAGGCAAGACTGATCCGATATCTGTGTTTACATTAATTACTGCTTTTGGGGATTGCCCCTCTGAATGCTGGGTTTGGATATTATTGACTGCTACAGAACCCGGTCAAGGAGTGGAGTCATCAGATGATTCTTTTGCCTTTATTATGCAGCATAAGACCACATACACATAGTGTGCAGCTGAGGTAGTTTCTGTGAACAATACAATAAAATACGAATGAATAAACATGAAACTTGCTAAATAAGGAACATAACAAATCTTTATTCTCAATAATAAACACACTTTGAACACCACTCAATAGTATTGTATAAGTATGCAGCATCTTGTAAACATATAAATACAGCAGCATAAGACTGGGACATCATATTGTACTAGTAATATGGACCTGTAATAACCAAAAACGATAGCGTATTTTATCATATGTAGCACCAGATTACCTAAATAAAGTGTATAAACATTCTATGTTTCTATTCTATGCTAGCGGATTTAGTCCGATCATGGAAAAATGATTAAGCACTCTTTTAGTGCATCTAACATCTTGAAACTTACACACAAACAAACCCTGATAGAAACAGGGAGTGATATCTGAATGCTTCTGAAATTATTGTCAACATATAAGTATGATTCAACTTACATCGTCACAAACTTCTTTGTGACGTCTTTCGGATGAGATGTTAAACTGAGGTCCTGACTCTCTGTGGTCATTAAAAATCCCAGGATGTCCTTCGTAAAAGAGTTGGGGTGTAACCCCGGCATCCTGGCCAAATTCGCCCATTGGCCTCTGACCATCATGGCCTCCTAACCATCCCCATATCTGCTGATTGTCTTCATCACTCTGTCTCCTCTCCACCAATAAGCTGGTGTGTGGTGGGTGTTCTGGCGCAATATGGCTGCCGTCGCATCATCCAGGTGGATGCTGCACACTGGTGGTGGTTGAGGAGATTCCCCCCTTCTATGTAAAGCGATTTGAGTGCCCAGAAAAGCGCTATATAAATGTAAGTAATTATTATTATTATTATTAACTTGTACTGCATAATGGGCTGCTGCACACGAATAACAAGCAGATCCTCCGCTCACGTAACAGAGAAAATGCCCTTACGCAAAGTGCGCACATACACTAAAGCACCATTGTACGACAATCGCGTAACACTGAATGGCACATTTACATAGACACGACAAACATGAACGTGAATGTAGAGAATTCACAACACCTGCCCAAAATGATGTCAGTGATCACTTTACTACGCACATAGACCCTTAGGTTTTGAATGGCCATGCTATTAAAATATTAAATAATTCACATTAAGTAGCCATATTTGCCAGGATGGACAACAGCTGTCATGGATGTTTGGCAGCACAAAAGACCGAAAAATAATGAACACAATGGGATTATCGTTGATGAGCCCAATTGGATGGTAAACCGGTGCTGTACTGATGGCGTGGCTGGGAAGACCACGTGCTTGAATGATTGGTCCCAGTGATGTAGTGTATATAGAGGAGAGGAGGGGCCCAAGAACTGATCCCTGAGAAACCCCAGTGACCAGTTGATGTGCCCAAGCATCCCTGAAGGACCTACCTGTGAGGTAAGACTCAAACCAGTGGAGCGCAGTTCCGGTGATGCCCAGCGATGAGAGGGTGGACAGAAGGACTTGATGGTTAACAGTGTCGAACGCAGCAGATAGATCTAGCAGAATGAGAACTGAAGATTTGTACTCCGCTCTTGCATTCCGTAGCGCTTCAGTGACTGACAGCAAGGTTTCAGTTGAATGGCCACTTTTAAATCCAGATCAGTTAATGTCCAGCTGGTTGTTCTGAGAGAGAAAGAAAGACGCTTGGTTGAAAAACCAAGTGATTTTGCTATAAAAGGGAGGAGAGACACGGGCCTGTTGTCAGGGTGGTAAAAGAGGAGGAATCAGTTGCAGGAATAAGGATTAATTGAGTTTCAAAAAACAGGAACTCAGGAAGTAATCATTAAGCCATTAAGATTTGACAACAGCAGAAACAAGATCACGATCAACAGATGAAAGTCAAATTAACTCAGCAGAGCAGAGATTTGATCTGGCACAGGACAGAAAACAAGAGGGGAATATAAAGGGTGTCTAATGATCCCAAAAAGCTGTAAACCCTTAGAAGATAATCAGGCAACTTAGGGGCAGGGTAACAATAGAGCACATAGCAAACACAAATACCAACTGACAACCATGTGCTCCAGGCAAACAAGGACAACACAAACAAACCCAGATCAGACCGGCACCTTGACACCTGAAGCTTTCAACAAGTGAGGTGTCTAGTGGAGTTTTTTTAAGCAGTGGGGTTACCCGAGCCTGCTTGAATGCAGTGGGAAAAATGCCTGTAAGAAGAAATGTGTTGATGATGTGCGTGAGTGAAGGCAGAAGTGCGGGGGAGATGTGAGATGTGAAGGAAGAGCTTGTAGGAGATGTGAGGGGATTGGGTCTAGAGGGCAGGTGGTAGGGTGGCTGGAGAGGATAAGTTTAAAGACTTCATCTTCTGTAAGAGGGGAGAAGGAGGAGAGAAGATGGTCAGCTGTGTGAGTGTTTGCTGTGAGTTCCAGGGTGAGTAGATCCGAGAACTGACTGCTAATGGATGTGGTTTTGTTTGTAAAGTAATCAGCAAAGTCGCCAGCAGCTAAAGAGGTGTGTGTCAGCAAATAGAAGGAAACACACATCCACACAACAGCGTTTATGGACTGAATTGAGTTGAATGAGCAGTGATCAAAGGTAATTGTAACAAGTTCAATAACCTGAGCTTGAGACTTAGCTGAGCAGTAATACAATCATTGATCTTTGCAAGTTCGTGGGATGGCAGGATTGCTGAGCAGATGACAGATGAAGGAGAGGATCATGCAGCAGCTAAGTTGAGCAGGTAAGTAGTAAGGCAGGTTGATGTACGTGTGAATGAGACCAGACAAAGATGAAGTGAAAAGTGACTGCTTAAATGGGAGTCTTGATGAGAGGGTGATTCGTGGAAGGTGTGGTAATGGCTGACAGAGTGCAGGTGGGAACCAGGAGGGATGCTGGGAAATGTAGTTCAGAGTAATAGAGCTGGTGACTGGTGGGTATTGGGACTAGTGATAGGCGCGTTCGAAACACTGCTTCACGAAGCTTCGAAACATTTCTGAATCTTTTGTTTCGAATCAGTGTTTCGGAGCATGTATCAAGCCGGCCTGGTCACGTGATTTTAGCAAATGAAGGTTTGTTATGTCACACTGTTTCGAAAAGTTTCGAAACTCCGATGGTTCCCTTTCATGGGAACTTCGAACTGCATCCTCTAGGGGTCGCTATGGGGAACGCCTCGTCGTGACCCGTGTCTGAAGCATACATTGAAAAAACACCAACTCGTTGGCCGGCGACAGCCATGACGTCACTACCGGTGCGACTATAGTATAAATAGGCGCCGGGAGC